TCAAAAAGCTAGAAAGATCTTAAATTGACACCCTAACATCACAACCAAAAGAACTAGAGAACAAAGAGCAAAAAAACTCCAAAGCTAGCAGAAGACAAGAGATAACCAAGCTCGGAGCAGAACTGAAGGAGATTGAGAAAAAAAAAATCCATAAAAAAATCAATGAATCAGGATCTGTTTTTTTGAAAAATTAATGAAATAGCTAGACCACTAACTAGACTAATAAAGAAGATGAGAGAGAATAATCAAATAGACACAATAAAAAATGACAAAGGAGATATCACCCCATAGAAATATGAACTACCATCAGAGAATACTATAAACACCTCTATACAAATAAACTAAAAGATATAGAAGAAACTGATAAATTCTTGAACACAGACATCCTTCCAAGACTGAACTAGGAAGAAGCTGAATCTTTGAATAGACCAGTAATGAATTCTGGAATTGAGGCAGTAATAAATAGCCTACCAACCAAAAAAAAAAAAAAAAAAGCCCAGATGGATTTATGGCTGAATTCTACCAGAGGGACAAAGAGGAGATGGTACTATTTCTTCTGAAACTAGTCCAAACAATTGAAAAGGAGGGACTCCTCCCTAACTCATTTCATGAGGCCAGCATTATTCTGACACCAAAACCAGGCAGAGTTATAACCAAAATAATAAAACTTCGGGCCAATATCCCTGATTAACACTGATGCAAAAATCCTCAATAAGATACTGGCAAAATGAGTCCAGTAACATATTAAAAAGCTTATTCATTACAATCAAGTTGGTTTCATCCCCAGATGCAAGGCTGGCTTAACATATGCAAATCAATAAATGCAATTCATTACATCAAACAGAACTAAAGACAAAAACCGCATGATTATCTCAAAAAGGCTTTCAATAAAATTCAACATCACTTCATGTTAAATAAAGCTCTTAATAAACTAAGTATTGCGGGAACATACCTCAAAATAATCAGAGTCCTTTACAGCAAACCCACAGCCACTATCTTACTGAATGTGCAAAAGCTGGAAGCACTCCCCCTGAAAACTGACACAAGACAAGGGTGCCCTCTCTCACCACTCCTATTCAACATGGTATTGGAAATTCTGGCCCAGACAATGAGGCAAGAGAAAGAAATAGAGGGTATTCAAATAGGAAGAGAGGAAATTAAATTGTCTTTGTTTGCAGATGGCATAATCCTATATCTAGAAAACACCATCATCTCAGCCCAAAAGACCCTTATGCTGATAAGTGACTTTAGCAAAGTTTCGAGATACAAATTTAATGTGCAGAAGTCACAGCATTCCTATACATCAACAGACAAGCAGAGAGCCAGATCATGAATGAACTCCCATTCACAATTGCTACAAAGAGAATAAAATACTTAGGAATACGGCTAACAAGGGATCTGAAGGACTTCTTCAAAGAGAACTACAAACGACCACTCAAGGAAATCAGGACACAAATGAAAAAACATTCCATGCTCATGGATAGGAAGAACTAATATCATCAAAATGACCATACTGTCCAAAGTAATTAATAGATTCAATGTAATTCCCATTAAACTACCATTGACATTCTTCGCAGAATTAGAAAAAACTATTTAAAACTTCATATGGACCCAAAAAAGAGCCCACTAGCCAAGACAATTCTAAGCAAAAAGAGCAAAGCTGAAGATGTCACACTACCTGACTTCAAATAATGCTATAAGACTGCAATAACCAAAACAGCATGGTACTGGTACAAAAAAAAAAAAAAAAAAAAAAAAAAAAAAAAAAAAAAAAGATGCATAGACCAATGGAACAGAATAGAGAACTCAGAAATAAGACTGCACATCTACAACAATATGATCTTTGATAAATCAGACAAAAACAAGCAATGGGGAGAGGATTTTTTATTTAATAAATGGTGCTGGGAAAACTGACTAGCCATATGCAGAAAATTGAAACTGGACCTCTTCCTTATATTTTATACAAAAATTAACTCAAGATGGATTAAAGATTTAAATGTAAAACCCAAAACAATAAAAACTCTAGAAGAAAATCTAGGCAACACCATTCAGGACATAGGCATGGGCAAAGATTTTCTGATCAAAAGGCAAAAGCAATTGTAACAAAAGCAAAAAATGATAAATGGGATCTAATTAAACTAAAGAGCTTCTGCACAGCAAAAGAAACTATCATCAGAGCAAACAGACAACCTACAGAATGGGAGAAAACTTTTGCAATCTATCCATCTGATAAAGATCTAATATCCAGAGTCTACAAGAAACTTAAACAAATTTACAAGAAAAAAGCGGAACAATCCCATTAAAAAGTAGGCAAAGGACATGAATAGACACTTCTTAAAAGAAGGCATTTATGTGGCCAACAAACATGAAAAAAAGCTCAACATGACTGGTCATGAGAGAAATGTAAATCAAAACCACAATGAGATACCATCTTATGCCATTCATAATGGTGATTATTAAAAAGTTAAGAAACAAAAGATACTGGTGAGGCTGCAGATAGGAATGCTTTTACTCTGCTAGTGGGAATGTAAATTAGCTTAATCATTGTGGAAGACAGTGTGGCATTCCTCAGAGACATAGAAACAGAAATATCATTTGACTCAGAAATCCTATTACGGGGTATATACTTAAAGGAATATAAATCATTCTGTTATCAAGATACATGCACATATATGTTCACTGAAGCACAGTAGCAAAGACATGGAATCAACCCAAATGCCCATCGATGATAGATTGAATAAAGAAAATGTGGTACATATACACCATGAAATACTATGCAGTCATAAAAAGGAATGACATCCTGCCTTTTGCAGGGACATAGATGGAGCTGGAAGCCATTATCTTCAACAAACTAACACAGGAACAGAAAACCAAACACTGCATGTTCTCACTTATAAATGGGAGCTGAACAATGAGAAGACATGGATACAGGGAGGAGAACCACACACATTGGGGCCTGTTGGGGCCATAAAGCCGAGGAGGGAGAGCACTGGGAAAAACAGCTAATGCATGCTGGGATTAATACTCAGGTGATGGGTTGATAGGTGCAGCAAACCACCATGTCACACATTTTCCTATGTAACAAACTTGCACATTCTGCACATGTACCCAGAAACTTAATATAAAATAATTTTAAGTGAAAAAAAAAATGGTGTGTGATGTCATTATTAAAGAAATCCAGGAAAGACTTAGCTGTATTAACTATGTCAGAATAGGATTGTTGGATGAATGAGTGAAGGAATGAATGAAGGAGTTACTAGTTCTACCCTAATCCTCAGTTACACTCTATATCCAGAGTAGCAATATTTATTTAGTACAGGATCCATATTTTCAGAGCATATTGACACATGAGTTTATTCAGAGGAAGCTGACCAGATGGTGATGGGACTTGAAACCACATTCCAACAAGTGGTGGTAGAGGACTGGTAATATTTAAGAAAGAAAAGACTTGGGCGAAAAATACTAAAAGCTAAGAGTTACTGAGTGTGTACTCTGGGTCAGGCATTATGTGCAGCCTTTTAATAGATTTCATACATTATGGTTAATAATGGAAAGGAAACATTTTCTTTTGAGTTTTCCTGGAAGGCAGGACTAACAGTAGTCAGTGGAAATGGCAGAAAGATAACTCTGCTTATCAGAATGATGGCATTTCTATTCTCAAAGCTGCCCAACAATAGAAAGAGCTGCTTGGATATAATGATTTCCAAGTTTTTGGAGGTGTGCAAGCAGAGACTGGTGAAACTTTTCATGGACATATTTTAGAGAGAGGAATGAGTATTAAATGGCGGTATGTGCCAAGTGAACTCTAAGACTTTTTTCAGCCTTATTTTGTGAATCTCTCATTGTCTTACAGTACAGCAATTCCATTTTTGGCTCTTAGTTCTGTGGCATGAACCTTCAGTGGTCAATGTTACTTCTAATTTAGTAGTTCAGTTGTAGTGGAATCTGGTTTTGCATTTCCTCCTGGCAACTAAGACAAAACCCAACAGAACTCAAAGTCTCAGGGATTGGACACAGATATTTTGAGAGTCCATCACTGAGTATAAAGGCAAAAAGAGCCTCTCTCATTTTCTCATTTCATCTCTAAACTCATGTACTCTTTATATGAGAGAAATAGCACCAAATATTTAGATTGCTTTTTGAAAGCATTGTAAATTTTTATTCTTAGTTTGAAAGCTTCACATGTGAATAGCATTTATTTTTGTCTTTGTATTTAAATGCAGTTATTTATGTTTCTAAAATTCCCTCTGATTGCATTTCTTATTTTGAGCTTTGTTATTGTTAGAGTGCACTGTGATCATCCACCCACCTGTGCTTTTATGGTAATTAACATCACACCTTAAAAATTGGTTCTTAGTTGGGTGCCATGGTATGTGGCTTTAGTCCCAGCTACTAGGGAGGCTGAGGCAGGAGGTTAGCTTGAGCTCAGGAGTTCAAGACCAGTCTGGAGAACATAGTGAGACTCTATTTCTAAAAAACAAAAACAAACAAAACACCTGGTTCTTATGAATGGGTAAAGAAAACATGTTCATTTAAAAGATGACTACCAAAGAACAATGAAGTTTTATAGATATAAAAAATTAAATATCATATATTAACAGATGAGAAATTCAAGCTCAAAGAGATTGAATGATTTGTCATAGTCACATGGCTAGTGGGAAATTTGAATTCTTGTCTTACTTCTTTTTTCCACCCACTTAATGAGGCAATTATGTACTATATTCTTAGTAAGATCTTTTTCTTCTCCTTTGCCCTCTTCTCCTCCTTCTCCCCTTCTCCTTCCCTTTCTTCAACTCTTCTTCATCCTCCTAGCATGTAGAATATTCTTACACCAGTTACTCATTTCTTTACTTACAGCCTGATTGGCCTGTGACCAGCACAGACAGTATCTGAGTAAGGTTCCAAAATAGTCTTTTCTTTACCTGTATCCTTAGTCAGGTAGGCAAGAGTTCTAAGGAATCTTGCGTTCTTAATTCTGAGTTGCTTTTGGATCTCTGCAGTGCTGCGTATGATGCTGTCCTTGACAGAAATGTGGCCATTAAGAAGCTCAGCAGACCCTTTCAGAACCAAACACATGCCAAGAGAGCATACCGGGAGCTGGTCCTCATGAAGTGTGTGAACCATAAAAATGTAAGTTTTGTTATTTTTAAATTTCTGGCAGTGGGAGTTTGTGAGACTGGAAAAAGAAAATGTGTCTGTACTCGAGTAAGAAAGGCTTTCTTTCTTTCCTTTGCAATTCCTGCCTCTTAAGATTGTTTATCCTGCCAATATGCTACATTTGATTTTCTTGTCCTCATGGTAGCTTTCTGCTGAAAAATCACCTAAAAACCATATGAGGTGGAAGTGATGAATTTTATAAATATTTCCCTAGTTAGAAAATTTACCATATTTGGCTATCTTGCTCCAAATTGAGAGTTTCATGCTTTCCAAAAATGAAACAAGAGAAGCAAAACCAAAAAACAAGAAACAAAAAACCCTACAAAGCACCATGCTACATTTCTTTATAATTTAGATTTAATTGCTAACAGTTGAGTTTTATTCATGTTACCTCCTTTTTGTTTCAGCTGTAGTCTAGTAGTGGCCTCTAATTGTTCAGTGAATCCTCTGTGCGTTGGCAATATTTATTTCAGGGCTGGGCAAATATGCAAGTACATATTTGCAAAGCACTTGAGAACAGGATCAAGTTTTTTCTCATCAGAACTCAGCTGGGTAGACCATTAAAGGACTTTCTACACTTCAGAATCTAGGCTCCTTCAATCACAGGCTGAGACCTGTAGAATTCTTTCTGTGCTCCACTTCTTAGTAAAAATAAATAGGAGATAATTCATTATTTTAAGGAAAACTTTTATTAATAAATACATTATAATAAATGTATTGAATACATTTTACATATAAATACATAATAAATTATAAATTATTATAAATAAAATTTTATTTTCTTAAAAATAAAAAAAAATTATTATAAGTAAAATCATTATAAAGTATAATAGCTATAATAACTTCCTACAAAGTTCTCACATTACCAGTGTGGTTTTATAAACCATGGATCTTGTTCTAGTGCTAGCCATCTACCAGTGGCACTGAGAAGACACATATGTATTAGTTTTAAGTTGAAAGATATTTGAAAGGCAAATATGCAGATTCAGGCCCCATGACAGTATTTCTCTTTTCCTCTATTACTCTACCCTGATGATTTTTAAATTCAGTCTTTTGACATGTATGTGTTAAATGAACAAAATGTGCCAGGCACAGATCTAGATGGTCTGGATGTTGATACAGCAGTGAAAAAAAAAAGACAAATCCCCACCCATGTGGAGCTCATGCTCTATTGGCAAGAACAAGGAGGTCCACAATAAGATAGGTCAATATGTAAAATGTCAGGTGAAGGTAAGTTCTATTAAGTAAAGCAAAGCAAAGCAAAGCAGGAAGATTTTAAAATGCTGGTCAGTATGTGGTGGGGTAGGTTTGCCCTTTAAATAGACTAAGCAGCAAAGACCTCACTAAGAAATGAAAATTTTATGAACTGCATACCCACAGTTAATATGGCCATGCAACAAGCATGAGACTTCTAGAAAGGAATACAGAAATAATAGAAAGTTCTATACTAAAGTAATTTGTTCTTTCAGTATGTTAAATAAAGGTAAAGGCAAGATTAGCCACATGATCAATACAATCCATTCTGTTATACCAAAGAGGATGGAACATAACATGGGCAATGGAAAATGAATGGATACAAGCAATGGAAAACTTTCCATACAATTGATTCATCCTCATTCCAGACCCTGTAATGTAATACAGTGTGGAGAAATGCCCACTTACTTGGCCAGTTTGAGAGAATGATTCTTCCCATTCTAGACTGAGATGTTGGAGTCTCATATTTACGAAGCCTAAAAAAGAGTTCCAGATTGCAGTGATAGTTTATAAATAGCATCCCACCTGCTACCTTCCTTTTATTTGTGTATGGATGTATGTAGAAGTCTACAGAAACGTATTTCTGGAATGTTTTATGAAAAGGAAATTCACTTACAACCAAGTGTAAATTCCACATTAATAAGAACATAGAACTCTGTTAATACTGTGGAAAGCAAAGGAAAGGTAAAGTAATCCCATTAATCTTTAATAATAGTGAGGAAAATCTGTTTAGAAAATACTTCTTTATGGTGTTAGTTTGGTCCTGTTAGCTGTATTTATACAGTCCTCTGCTCTACCAGCTGAGCTATCGAAGGGACGTGTTGTATTTCTTATCCACTGAAAATTAGATTAGAATTCTTATTTTAAAAAAAGAAAATAAATATTCAATTCTAGGAACTAGTGATTGTGAGGCCTGACAAGCATGGATTCACATCTGTGTGTCTCAAGGTGCTAGGATAAAAGCACTTAGATTCCTATCTGGAAACTGTTGAATTAAAATGGAAATAGCTGTGATAATGTCCTAAAGATGCATGTTTTAAATTGGCTATTGGTAGGCATTAGAATTTATAAGAGAGCAAAGGAAGGATAGAGGATAAATTCTCAAACAGTAAAAAGTGAGAAAACAGGGTCATAGGAAATGGGAAAACAGGAACCTATGGTAGGGAATAGAGCTTGAGAAATTACGTTTTAGGACAATAAATCTTGATTTATTTAAAATTATAATGCTATTTTCTAGGTTTTTTTTAAAGATTATCTAGATTATTTGTTCACCAGGTGACCTGGGTTAGCGTTTTTCCATTTTTAAGGAGTGTTCATATGAATGTTTGTGTGAGTGTGATGTGTGCTCTATACACAGTCTCCAATGTTTTTGTTTGAACAAATATCAAAATGAAACAAATTACTGTATGAGATTGATAAAGTCCTAGAGAAATGGACCCACTGTAGATGTTCCAATGAAAGGTGGACTTCATAGGCATTTTTTAACACTCACTGGCACTGAGATGCTATGAGAATACAGAATAAAATGGCCCTTTAATAGCAAGTTTTAAAGATAATTTTAAAATAATTATATTTCTGTATGAATATTCCATACTGCGTTTGCTTTAGAAGAGATAATCTTGTTTTATTTTTAAATATGGAATGCTTCACGAATTTGCATGTCACTATATAGTTGTAATATAGTGTAATTGCTATAAATATGTATACTAGAAAATATTGGATGGTACTGTGATTATTTTTTGTCAATAATTTCTCAACAAGTTAAAACTACTTGAGGCATAAAACATTACATAGAATTGAGTCAAATTTTCAGCTGTTTAAACTAATTTTATTTTGTTGATTACTTTGTATGTTTTTATATCATTTATAAAGTTTACTGAAATTCATTGATTGGTGCTTTGAAGCTGCTTTTATCTTGACCTTGTACTTATCCAGTTTTTATAAAATAGTTGCAATATATTGTGAGTATAAGATTGTTATTATATGTTTTTATTTTCATTTCCTCCTGGTTTGTTAGTACAGAATATTTAGTTGAAAGCACATTTTGAGTTATTGACATATGCAATCTATTTGGAAATGTGACAAAGTATTTTCACAAAATTTGCTTATGCTAGAAGGTAAATTTCTTTACTAGCTAATATATAAAATAAAGCAGGAAACAAAAAGCTTCTAACTGAATTTAGATAACTTTAAAATAATTTTCTACTAAATTCGTCATTGATATCTTCTAGAATGCATCTTTCCCCACACCTATTATTGGAGCATTAGTTTAAGTAATATTTGAGTGTGAGGTAGAAGAAAAAAAAATGAAGTAATAACACAAAAAATCATGAAGAAGAAGACCACTTTGTTCATCTGGAGAAGTATCCCACTGCTAGGTCTCATGGAGTGTTTTCCTGCCATCTCTCTTCTCACATGACATTTCTTTTTTTGTTGTTTAATCCCACAAAGGCCTATATTCTGCCACGAGGAATCACACTTGAAAGCATTGTAACAATTATGCATCTCTCTGACTCTTCTGCTCAAAAATTGAGCTTTTTAGCTTCATTATTAACTTTAAGACAGATCATCTGTGAGACAGCTCCAGAAATTTTTCCAACTTCTCTATTTTCACCTTAGCAGTAGTGACTTTGAGTTGAAGTAAAATTTAAAAATAATAAATTCTCTCTCTTTTTTCTTTCTCTCTTTCCTCTGTCCCTTCCACTCTCTTTCAGATCATTAGTTTATTAAATGTCTTCACACCCCAGAAAACGCTGGAGGAGTTCCAAGATGTGTAAGTAACAAAACTCAAAACTCCTGAAGGAAGAGACAGCACAGCACTCAAACAGTCCAAGGGAAAATCTCTCTCTCTCTCTCTCTCTCACAAACACACACACACACATACACACACACACACACACACACACACAGAGAGAGAGAGAGAGAGAGAGAGAGAGAGTTGAAATCCTTGTACTGATCAAAAAGAGGTAAGAGGTGGCGGCAAATGAAAGGGGTCCAGTGATAGAGAAGATTGTGTTCGTGGTGTTATTTCCTGGAAAGATATTCTGCCTCCTTTTGGCCTTGTGGCTTTATATACTTAGTTGTTCCATGCTCTTGGTCAATCAGATAAGCCTTATTTATTTATGATTATTAATAGTTTCCATGAACTTTCCACGATGAGTTAATTCACCTGAAGAAATAGTAATAAGAGGGACATGAAAATTATCTTGATTCTTTTGATTTTTGTAGTGCCATTGATTTTGTGCAAAGGGTCTAACCAGTAATGACAACAGATGGAGGAGAGAAAGTGGTTCCCTAGCACCTTGTGTTCAACACAGATGCATTGAATTTAATGGAAGAGGCTGTCTTGAAATTTTTTTATATGTGTAATTATAATACTCAAGAAAGAGTTGAGGGAATACAAGGGAAAGTGAGAGCAAAATTAAGGTAAAAAAATCTATGGGGACGAACCACACACTAATAAACGCTGCTTCTACTAGCAACCTTATGGTAGGGTTCCTGTAGCTAACACACATGCAATACCTGGAAATTTTCATATTCTTGATTCTGTCAAAGTCAGAGCTAGGAAGTTCAGAAGATGTACAGAGTTAGGAGAGAATTCTGACTAAATCAAAGGACTTCATCAATCTTGTAATCTGGAACTAACATTGTGGATTTACTCTTCTAGTTATTTAGTAATGGAACTGATGGATGCCAACTTATGTCAAGTGATCCAGATGGAATTAGACCATGAGCGAATGTCTTACCTGCTGTACCAAATGTTGTGCGGCATTAAGCACCTCCACTCTGCTGGAATTATTCACAGGGTAAGAATACCTTCTCTAGGATTACAATGAAAATGCTTTAACAGAAGAGGAGGAGTAACTGTAGATTATTTTCTTTATACAGGGGCATTGGTCAAATATAATATATTTCCTCATTTATATGATATTAAATTAGCATCTAGTTCACTAGTTGTAGAAGGAAATTCTAGTTATATTGTAGTTGAGTTTATTGAATATTATGTTTTGGCTCATTGAGACACAGCTTCTTAGAAGCCTTATGCTTTCAGCTCCTTGATTGGCAGAGGTCATACTTAAAACTGAAATAAGCCAATCCATTTCCATAGTTGTTTCTGGTAGCATAATTACAGCTGCTCTGATCTCTTCTTCTGTCAGGCCTAGAAATGATATATAAGTTGATTTATATTGTCCTAAGGAGAAACCTAAAAGAAGACAATAAATGATATATATATATTTTTTTCTAAAACCTCTTCCCAAGATTAGTGTAAATTGTATAAATGATAATACAGTTGTTTTCTGGGTTTGAAAATCTTTCTGGGGATTTTTTTAAATCCAAAAACTAATAGTTTACTTATTTGTGGCAGTAAGCATTTGCCTTATCTAGGGCGCTGTAGGCAAGGGGGACCTCATCAATGCTACTGCAAGATGGCTGTGTTGATTGAGTCAATGAAAATAACATGTTTCACTTGATGCTGGCTTTTAATTTTTTCCCTTATCCCTATTGTTAGGATTTAAAACCAAGTAACATTGTAGTCAAGTCTGATTGCACATTGAAAATCCTGGACTTTGGACTGGCCAGGACAGCAGGCACAAGCTTCATGATGACTCCGTATGTGGTGACACGTTATTACAGAGCCCCCGAAGTCATCCTGGGGATGGGCTACAAGGAGAACGGTAGGGATGCTTCTGAAGAGCAGCATCAAAGCGATGAATAAAACGGGTATACATTTTAGATAGCCAAGGAGAATGTTCTCTTTCATATACAGGCTTTTATAAAGTAGGCTGCCAGATAGCATATTCAGGTTTTTTTTTTTTTTTAATACTACTGGTAAGAATCACTCATTAAAAATGTGAAGGGTGTTATTGAGAATTCTCAGCTTTGCTAGAAAAGCGCTAAACGTTAATAGTGAAAAAGAATTCTAAATAGAGTCTGATTAAACAGTCAAGTGGATACTGATTGGCACACATGCCTAGATATTGAGAAAAATTGCCATTTGGGTTGCAGCTCAGCTGAGTGTGAGTGTGAAAGCAGGAAGGAATCTACCACATTTAGCCATGTGGCTTTTATGTTGAGTCTCAGATTGATGGCTCTAGTTCTAGAAAAAGACAAGCAAAAAAAAAAAAAAATGCCACAAATCCTTAGAGTGAAAATCTTCACAGACAACTTTGAAATAGTCCAAATTATTCAAATTGAATAAGAATTTCTGTAATACTTTAAGCTGCTCTGTAAGAAATATTTAGAGTAGCAATTGCCTGTAAATCTTCATATATTCCAAAAATCGTAAAAAAGGAAAATGTCAAATTTGACACTACTGCTTTCATGAAGAAAATCTAATATTTATGAACACTTTAGAATGAAGGTATGGAAAGAGCCTTAAAAATGTATTACAATTGACTGTTGTTGATTAAAACAAAGGATTTATTAAATACCTGTTAGAAAGCATTACAATGTATTATTTTGATGAGAATATATCTTACAAGTAATGCAACATATTGAAAAACGTATTCAATATACTTAGGAATTAAAATAGTTTTAAATTAGCATTGTATATGTATTCAATGTACCTTTCATATTTATTTTTATATTCTATTTAGTTTTTAACCATCTATTTTTATAAACTCTATAAAAATAATCAGTGTATTTTTATGTACAGGTGCTACAGGGTACTTTAATGAGAATTTTCTGGCCACTGAAGTTTACAGAAACTTCTTTGTATACTCTTAGATTAGAAGACAGAGAATGTAGGTATGCATTTATACAGAGGAAGTTAAAAAGTCAGCTCTTATGAAGGTCAGGTTTACCCTGGTGGGCAATATTGGAGTTCTGGTACCTTTTGACTCAGAAGAGATGAATCTAGCCCTCCTCACAAGGCAATACCACATCTAATTTATTCAGAAAAGAAGACATTTTTATACTTTCTTTGCAAGTTATTTTTAAAAAGTCAAAGGAGAAACAAAGTCAAGAATCAAGAATGTACAGGAGACTGGGTGGGCCGGGGGGTTCTGAATTTGCCTATTTGGGCTTTTCAGATCTTGATACTACATATAGATGGTATTAAAATCCCTCTCCCTTCCCTCACTAGAAGAAATTGCAGGTTGCTACCTTAGGTTTTTGACTTCTCTAAGTCCAAGGAGAAGGGCTGCCTGGCACCCTGGTGCTGCCCTCCTACCAATGGGGGGGAAGATTATCACGCAGAAAAAGCTGCTTGCTCCCACATCAGGCACACCCCGCTGTCCCCTGCATCTAGCCCCACCCACCTTCCCCATAGAGGAAAGGTTCCCTTTGTCTATAATACAAAGCAAGTTGGAAGTGGGTAAATATTGATAAGACAAGGCAAAGGCAAAGCATGTTTTCCTAACAAGTATGACAATTTGGAAATAAATATATGTACATAACAATTTTTAACACCTTTAATACTTTTTTCACTTTCCTTCCAGATGACTCGTTTATACATGTGCTAATTCATCATATGTCTTTTTTCTTGAAATATTTCAAACAGAAACTAAAACTGATGTTTATTTACAAGGAAAAACTTCTGAAGGAAAAGCTAAGTCCCAAATATGAGGGATTCCAATCCTTTTGACTCTAAACCATAGTTCCAGCCATTTCCTAGTTTCTTGGATTTGGTTGAATTTATCTTGTTTTGCCCTCCCTCCTCCGCCACCAAAAAAAAAGGTGGTCTCTTTTTGCCCTATTCTCTGTAACTGAATGAAATAGAAAATGAAAATAGCCACCCCTACAGGTTAATTGTTTTCTCTACATCCAGCAAATGACCCAGAATACCCTTTGGTGGCTTTTAGCTGTCACCTACCTGCCATGGAACTTTTGGTTTAACTATTGTTTTCCCTGTCACCAATGTCACCACGCTGTGGTACTATTGAGAGGCAATGTAAGGTACCCACCAAGTAATGTTTTAAACATTAATTTGAGTTCTCATACTAGACACTGTTTATGTAATAGCATAGTGCTGGTTTTAATTCACCTTTTGGCCAACTTTTGGTGGGAGGTGAAAATTGTACTTTTAATCAAACTGTTCTTTTTCCTCCTCCTTCAGAAGTCAATTATCTTAGTTAACTTTACTTTCCTTCCTTTTCTTCACTACCCTCTCTCTCCTGTTCTAGTGGATATATGGTCTGTGGGATGCATTATGGGAGAAATGGTTCGCCACAAAATCCTCTTTCCAGGAAGGGACTGTATCCTTGTACCTTTTGCTACAGCTTTACCTGTTTTGTTCTTTCTCCCTTTTAAAAACATAATGATTTTACCAGGAGAGTAAAGATAGAAGCAAAAAGTTGGGTAAGTGGTGTTATTGTAATGAAAAAAACTGATGATTTCTATAATCTGACCAGTACTGAAGACTACCTACCACAATGATTTCTTTAAATTAAATTTCAATGGGCTTTTTTCTTCTAAAATTACTTTCTTGCCTGCAACTAAAACTAGAAATGCTACTTTTCCTTAATAACAGAGGCCACCAGATCCCAAATGATTAAAATATATTTACCTTTATAACTAGCAAAATAAGTCACTATTTGGAAGTCATTTTCCATCTCCTTTCTAAAACTATTTTGTACTTCTACAATATTTAGGCATAAAATTTCTCTCCTTGCTGACATTCTAAGCTACTGTCTATGCCTTCACTGATTTAAATTACTCTTGACACTAAATCAAATCTTTAACAGGTCAATATAACATATCCTCCTCAAAATATGCACTTCCACATTTAAAAACTGTAATTATTGTTCAAGTTGCTGGTGGTCAGGTGAATTTAAAATAGACTTCTCTCACTTGATTTGGAGATGTGACATACACATAGATACTTGTTTTCCCAAATAAATTTATAATTTCATAAAGCAATTTTGATTTAAGTTCTATTGAGTCCTACAATAGAGTCCATCAGAAATTTGGTCTAGAGCTATCAATGATTTGGAATTATCAAATGAGCTGAAACATTCTTAAATGGCCAAAAGTTCACTCTGTAAAGGTACAGATATGTGTTTATAATATACAGATAATAAAGTTTACATGTAATAGTAGAATATAATTTTAAAAATACAAAAATACCTTACTACAAATACTAGTGCAAATCTAAGTACAACCATAATTGACAATTTTAACAATTATAAGCCAGGATTGAATTTAGTATATTTATTACATATGGATGTTTGGGAAATTGGCACTAACCACGTGACCCGTAACTCCATTAACCATTCTATTTGATTGATAAGAAAGTTTATTAAGGAATCCTTTTATTATTTAAGAAAGGTTATAATTTTTATTATTTGAAAAGTCAAATACAAAAAACAAAACAAAACAAAAACCTGACTCAAGAAGAAGTGGATACCATAATAAGCTTGTATTTAGGTAGGCATTTATTCATTCTGCTGGTTGTTAATGAGATAGTCTCTAAATTCCACTAGTAATATAAGAGTAATGACATATTCTAGAACCGCACTGTCTAGTAGGTAGCCACTAGCCACATGTGGGTATTCAGCACTTGAAATTATAGCTAGTTGAAATTGAAATGTGTTTTGTTGTTAAATGCATAGCGGATTTTTAATATATTTCTAAAAATATGTAAAATATATGATTAATAATCATATAGATTAAGTTACGGTGATAGCATTATAAATATATTGGGTTAAATATATATGTTGTTAAAATTAAACTTAGCTGTTTCCGTCTTTTTAATATGGACATTAAACTTAAAACTACATATCTGATTGGCATTTGTGACTGTCGTTTTTCTGTTAGACAGTGCTGCTCTAGAACATGAGAAAACTCCATGGCAACTACTTATTTATAACCAATCTTAAAGTCTTGAATCTCTGTTTGCTCCATGTTCCTTTCCTATCTATACTGTGAAGTCTCATTTTCATCATCAAATTTGATATGGCTACTTAGGAAAATTCATTTCACTTTAAATTATGTATCTATAGCTTGGGCATCAATTATATACCTACCATAGTTTATTTGAACAATGTTATAATGCACATTCATATTTAAATGTGCTGACTTTATTCAAAAGTAGGAATTGTTTTCTTTTTGCTTTGCCTTTGGTGTATAATACATTTTGGATGAAAAAGGAACCTCTCAATACTCAGGGTGAAGTTGCACAGCCACATCTTTGCAATGCACTTGTCAGTGGAAAGCAAAAAGCCACAGACTTTCTCATTTCCATGTGACTTTTTGTTACATGTCACTTGATTTCATGTAGTGAGGTTGTTCTCTGAGATCTTATTTAGCTCTTCAGGCATTTATGAGAATTGCTTTTCTTCTATTTTGACAGTATTAAATTTAAAAGCCAATAAAATGAGAAAAAAGCGAAAACTTTTAAACTTAATCCAACCCTTCAGAAAAGCATGCAAGCAAACAAACAAACAAATAAAATAGCACCATGTTGGATAATTCTGTTTTCTGTTAAAAATTGTTCTCTTGGAAGCCCCCGCTTTTTTATCCTAGTTTGTTTTGGAAACATTTTTTAGAGCTGAAATTAAATTGTGTCAAAATAAATGCATAACATTTATATCCTTGATATGTATGAACCGAAACATTTAAATAATCTTTAATATAAATAATATAGACTATAATAAAGGTTTGCAGTCTATATTTCTTTATCTCAAGTGATATATAGTATAGCAGCCTTTGATAGCCTAGTGCCATATGTGATAATGACCCTGCAAGTGGACCTAAAATTTAAAAAAAATTACATAAAAACATCTACAATGGAAAGCCTTTTGCTTAAGTTAAATTTTATGGAAGTATGAGTAAATATTTTCCAATGAAATAAGTTAGATAAAAATTTCCTTTTTGAAAATTTTTCTATTTGAATTTAAGTTTTTAGTTCATTTTACATATAATTAAAATTATGACTTAATTTTTAAATTAAATTTTAAAGATGAGCAAACCTATAGGAATCTCTGCACAGGGCTTTCTACCAACAATTGAGCAGTCAGATAACCTCCCAAACTATGACTGTGAGACACAAGGCTGAGGGCTGATTCAGGCTATTTATGGGCAGAAGAATTATACAATTTTAAGCATATTGAAATGAGTCTAACATTTATTGGAAGCATTATCAAAGCTAAGTATATGCTAACTGATACCATGACTACTTCCAAGATTCTGCAGAAATTTCAAAAAACAATCAGAGGTTCTCATGTCTTTCACGTAGAATTATTCAGAGTAATTTATACTAAATTACTTTGAGGCTGAAAAATGATGTGGTAGTACTATCATCATAATCAACATTTTTCTTCTCTCTTCACAGAACTTTTAAACTTGAACTCTAAGCAAAAATAATAAAATGTCTTGACAAATCGGAGAATCTTATGAAATTATCATTGATGACTGAAGTTTAACTACTTTCCCGCATTTCCACATTTTCCCACATTTCCCCTATCTTTGCATTTTGAGGAATACTATGGGGGTTTCTTGGTGGTTAATGGGATCTAGATGATATCACAGGGAATTGTCTTGGTTACTAAATTAGAATATTGGCAAAGTAAACAAAATTGAACAAAATAAACCATACATATTTGCTTTTCTACCTATTAGTTTGCTAAGTAATAGCCAAAGGATCACTTAATACTTATTTTTCTTGTATAAAGTGTTTCTTAATTATACATACACTTAATTTTCACTATAGTTTTATGATTAAAACATATTTCATAGCATATATTTTGACATAATGTAGTTTATGTATACAATATTATAATGCACATTCATATTTAAATATATTACTAAACATTCTTAACTAAGCATTCTTAAACCCATGCTGACTTTCAAGTCAGAGAGTAGTAAACATGCCAAGTCCATTATTTTCTTTATGTAGTCCAAAGAACAGATAAATCAGTGGCTTTAGCTTCACTCAGATTTTGTTCCTTTCAGTAAAATTTACAGGAAAGCAGTTTTACAATGCTTCCTTAGAAGTTTTTCTAAGAACTATCCAGTCACTCACTGCCTTCACCCACCCCAAACCCCAACCGGGGCATGCCATCTTCTTAATTATCAAAGGCTTCTATAGTCCCAGTATATTTCTCATGAGTCCTTTCTTCAAACCTTCTTTTAGATGCATTCTTCAACCTTATTTTTTCCATTCTACTTCAAATGGTAGCACCTTCTTTGAGCAAACCCTGCGATGTTCCTTTATCTAAGTTCTTGGCCAATATTCTCTGGATATGGTAAAGTTAAAAACAGGCACACTACACTCATTTGAAAATTCTAGACCTCAAGCATATTATATCAAAAGCTAACAGCTAGACTGCTAAAATAGCTCCTCTTGCCTTTCCCTCTGAACAAGAAATTGCAATTAAGATGAATGGGATATACATATAACCTTGCCAGGAAGCCAAGTTATTAAGGAACAGGTAAATGGTTTTCCAAAAGTATATTTGAAGAAATAAAAAAAAAATACCCTCAAATGAACGGAATGCTATATCTTTATAAGTTTATGAACATTAGGAAGGATCAAAGTAAAATGAACAAAAATTTGTGTTTACAGATTGTTATATCCATCTAGCACAGAGATATTTTTAAACTCTTCTTACCTCTTTGAAATAACAGTGCTTAATTCCTAATAAACTTTTGCAGCTAATAACTTACTATATAGTCTAACTCTGTTTGTTGCAATTAAGATAATACAGGGTTATTTAAAACAATATAAAATGTATGGCTTTAAATAAAATTAGAATGAAAAAATTTAATAGGTATTTTTCACATCTATAAGCAAATTGCACATAATTATATATATATTTAAAATAAAATTATTTATTATTTAAATGTATTTAAAAGAATACATTTATTTTAAAGAATCCATGTTTACCACTAGTATGCTTGCTACTCTTCTCTTTTATTATTATTTTATGAAAATGTGAGACAGGAGTCACCAGAATGGGAGCTGGAGATTCTGAGGTTGTAAAGAAATAAAAGCAAGTTTTATAATAGGTAGACTCAAGGAGAAAGTCTTTTTCTGATTTCCTGGCATTACAATATTTAGCATTAAGTTTGTGAATTGTTGCTTATTTTTCTTACTTAGATTCACATGAGCAAAATATGTACATTCTTAGTTTATTTATGTATATCAGTATCCTTAGAATTCTGTTTTTCAACTGAAGTTTAATACAAGGTCCTTTTGTTAAATAACTAGAGGTATAACTTAGTAAACTAATTTTAAAAGAAATGTTCTAATTTT